ATATAATTGACTTTCTAGCCAATTCGAAAGATTCTATATCAATATTATGAATATTAAATTTATTTTCATAAAAATCAAGAATTCTCTCTGTAATATACTTTACATCATATTGAGATGACTGGATAGTAAATAAATAGTATAATATAATATTTCCAAATTCACCAGGACTAGAATTAACAATATAACCTAATTGTTGTTTTGTACGTAAATCACTGAAAAATTTTTCATTAAATAAGATATGAACTAAATCTAATAATGATTTATTTATTTCTGTATATTCGGGAATAGGTAATATTAATGTTACGGCACTATTAACATCTTCCGGATTAGTACATTTATTAAAATAATAGGAATCTTTATATTCCCCTGATAATGAATATATATCTAACATTTCATACATATTTACAAAATTTGGTAATTTGCTGTTTGAAATTTTAGTTGAAATGAATATATCCTTAACATTTGTATTATTTAATAGATTATAATTTAATAAATGGTTCTCCATATGTATATTTGCAGATATATTTGTTATTTGGTTTGTATTCATATTTTCTTTGATTTGACCACTTTTATTTAATAATGTATTATTAGATAATTCATCTAAATTTTGTTTTTCCCTATATTTTAACAAATTAATATCAGATATAAAGTTCATATCTGGAATTTGATTTGATTCATCTATATTTCCAATTATCTCAAGGAATTTCTTAATTATAGTTATAGAATATCTTGGAGTATAATTACCTATAATAATACCTTCGAGTTTACTATAATTAGAAATAATCTTTGAGAAATGTATAATATCTTGATATTTTACATTATTCAATTCTTCTAATAATTTATTTGGTGTAATATATTCCTTAGTAAATATTTCAAAAGCAAATGTTAAAGATTGTTGATATGGTTCAAGGCGTAGAATTTCATCATTTAATGATTTGATTAGATGACTATATGATTGATTAAAACATCTATTAATAAATTTACTGGGATAATTTAAATAATAAGCAAATTTGTATAATTTTGGGGGAACTTCATTAGAAAATCCACAAATATTTATTTCCATACCATATGGTGTTCCATTATAATTATATGAAAATAAACTATTAAAACTTTCAATAGTTTCCGAAATCCCTTTAGAAGAATTTAACAATATATTTAATGAATATTCTAATGATAATGAAAGTAATTGAGTTAAAATTACAATTTTATATTCTGATAGATTATTTATAAATTCATATGGAACATCTGAAATGATATCTTTAATATTATTAATATTAGGAAATATTAACCTTATATTTATTAAACTTTTTGGGATAGGAATATTATGAACTGGAATATAATATATAGATTTTAATATATCTGGTACTTTATCTGTTACATCTAAATCATTATATTCGTGTTGACTATTAAATATTTTAATTCTATTATATTTGACAAATTCTTGAAGTGAATTAAATAAATTCATAGGATATTTCTGTTGTTTTATGATTGGATAATATATAGTAAAATCTGTTGGTATATATTTATTATCAGATGGTAATTTTATATCCATTCCATCTAATATTACAGATGAATTAATATGATGTAATTTATTAATAAAATATTTAGGTATCTCTTGTAAATTATATTCAGTCCCAAAATATTTCTCTTTTAAAAATACTTCATATTGTTCTTCATTAATTCCTTCATTATATTTTGTATTATTTAATATAACTTCATTATTAAATATTTGATTATATTTCAAAGAATCAAAATTGGGTTGGCTTAAAATAATAAACATATTATTTGGTTCTAATAAGTCCAAAATCTCTTTTATATAATTAATCTTCATTTCTTTTAATAAATAGTTAACTTTAAGTATCTCTTCAGGTTTACATTGATAATATTGTGAATAATATACTATATCATGAATTAATGATATAGTAGATTTTTGTGATGAATATTTAAAATCAATATCTGTAATTTGTTGTAATTGTTTAAAGAAATTAATATCTAATCTTGATTCTTTTAATAATTTTACAGTATAAAATATTGCATTAATAATTGGAATTAAATTATCTTTACTCTCATTCGTTAAATTAGTATCAATTGAAAGATATGAAAAACCAGATTTATAAGATGAACAATTAACAATTAATTTATTAATCCATCTTTTTGATTTCAAATATTCAAATAAACTATCTTCTGTTTTACTATTTAACATCTCAGATATATAATGAGATGGATCATATTCATTTAAAGGTATTTGATAAGTTATTGGAAATATTATTGATAATGTAGTTTGATTATTAATAGATTTTATTCTTAATAAATAACCAATTAATGTATTTAATGGATTTGTTTCATTTATATTTATAAATTTTATATTCTTATCTTTAATATCTGAAAAGTATTTTATTACAATATCTTCAAGTTTAGATAAAGATTCATTTCCAATAATTGCAAGCTTCATTATATTAGAACTATAATAATTTGTATAAAATCTTATTAATTCATCACGTACATTAATTCCCATTAATTTTGGATTTATTTCTAAAGTTTCCTTATTACCAACAATAAATTTATTATAAACATGAGTTGAATTTGATAAATACCTTTGAACTTGTTCTATACGCCATATATCTGAATTAAGTCTTAATTTAAATTCATTATCAATTGCATTTAATTCTCTATCTAAACATGATTCATTAAATCTAGGTGATTTAAAAAATTCACTAAAACGTTCTAATGCACCCTCTAAATATGTAGGCTCTACAGAAAAATAATATATTGCTTGATCATCATATGTTTCAGCATTTGAATATCCTCCATGTTCAACTAAATAACGAAAATATTGATTTTCATCTGGGAATTTATCTGTTCCAAGAAATAATATATGTTCTAAAAAGTGAGCTAAACCAGGTATTGATTTTGGGTCCATAGAACTTCCTATCCCAACACTTAAAGCTGCAGCTGATTCTTGAGATTGACTATCTGAAATTAAAAAACATTCAATATTATTCTTTAATTTAATAAATCTAAATTTTCTATCTTCAGATATTGGTTTTAAAAAATTATTATCTTCAATTCTGTAAATAGTATCAT